TATGCGTTTTTGCCGTGCAGCGCTAGAGCGCTGCAGCAGGCAGCAAAAACGCATATTGCAACGACTCTGTCTGTGTGTTTTTCTTTGGAGAGCACAATCGAAAAAAAGGGGGCGGAGCTTGGCCAGAAGCGAGCGAGCACTTGCTACACTTGCTTCAGTCTTCAACATTTGCTCATCGACGGTGGCGGCTTTCGTTGCGTTCCTTGACGGTGGCGGCTCTCACTGCGCTCTTCGGCTTACTCATCGACGGCGTAGCAGCTTTGCGGTCGTGTTTTTCGACTTCAGCAGCGTCCTGATAATATCAGTATGCTGAATCTCAGAAAAAAAAAGCGAGAAACAAAAATCTCACTTACATCCAGAACAGCTTTTACATTTCGTTTTTTGTGCGTAATCGAATTATAGTGATTTGGTTGGTCAAGCGTTGGAGATGTATGTATTATCATATCTTTTATCATGAATCCCATATTGATAAGCCGACGTCCCTCCTCATCCACTCCCCAATCTGTTGTCGTATAAAATGCGTTTACACGATCGATTACATTGATCTGTAACGATTCAAAATTGCTCCTTTAAGCATCCATATATATATCAAAAATACATCGCCGCCTAAGAATGGGTTTGGTAGGCTATGATTTTATTTAAAATTTTGCAGAAAAATGCAAAAAAATCAAGATTAGCGTCCAAGATAATGGGGCATAGATCAGGTATGGATACATCTTCCTGGGTATTCTACCTACAAAACAAAAAACACACTTAGGCCAACTACTGGATCCATCGTTGTATTGTTCTTCGATATTGATGAAACGGTCAAATTCTCTGTGTCCCTGTACTTCTTTCTATCTCATCCATAAAATTTCAAGTAGACGTTCAAGTGGATCCTTCCATCTCATTTGCTATATTTCCTACATCCTGGTAATGCGTAGACATCAAAAAGACAACTTCTTTTGCCCCTCATTTCGACAAATCATCAGTCCAGCACAAGTTTTATACATATTATCGTGATAATGCCATTTCCTTAGACGATATTATGCCAAATCGAAAAAGCATTAGTTCCCTGGGGATGTGCTGCAACTTGCTGGTGCCCTGTCATACTTCACGATTGACTTCAATTTTCTAATTTACACTCAAAAAAACATGTTTTATTTCCATATTCCAATGAGTAAGTGCTTCAGAAATCTCAAAATACGGCCATTTATACCAATCCATCATTTATTTTTAAGCAAACAGAACATATAGTTATTAGTTAACTGGCAACCTATGGTATTATCCACGGACAAAAGCTAAAAAAAAAAAAACAAACCAAATATCTTGCGGAAAAAGCTTGACTACCATTTCCAATAGTTTTAAAAAAATGATAATCGGCAACCACACGTAGCGCACATCTGAAAAAGCCAAATTAAAGGAGATGAAACGAAAATAAACACAAAAAGGCAAAAAAATTTCGCCGAAAAACGACAAATTCGACTGGGAATCACCAACTTTTTTATAATTAAACCAGCTACAGATCATAGTCTGATCATTTAACTATGAAACTGGCAACTCTTCTAGTTTTTCTGACCATTATCATCTAAGGGTTAGCTTAATGGCGACCACGGAATTTGACCCGGTGCCTTTAGGATTAGCAGCTTGACAGTTTTTCCTATAAAAGACACCTAGCAAGGTCTCAGTTATTTCGAAATCCTTGGCGTTTTGTTCAGCGTCATCATCTCATTTGGAATTTTTAGACCAAACACATTACTGGTCATGGTAAAAACCCCCCGAAACAGCTGCCAAAAATAATGAAGCAAACCGATTTTTTTGAACTGGTAACAGTGACGATCGTTTGTGCCGTATCTTCAGTTGTGAAGAGCCGAAACTGTTTCCTAGACTGATCGCCGAGCAAAATGGCCCGTTGTTCAGCTTCAAATCCGAACTTCGATATGCCAAAATTTGCTGTTGACCAGCGCTTGCCTAAATTTATAAAATAATAATAAAGAAATGAAAGCGCAAAAAGATTCCTTAAAAACAGCCCTAATTCATATTTTAGAGAGAAAGTAGGGTTGTCAATGATTTTTTTTTATTTGACTTTTAAAATTTCGCAAGAAAATCCATAATTCTTTTTTGCAGAAAAAATGGAGTCATCTAATAACGACTTTTTTCTTGCTTAAATTTATTTGTAACATGAGAAAGTAAATTCCGATGGATAGGGAATGTTGCTCGCCTCGATGATAACCAGTGGACATTGTGCCCAGTGAGGGATTTTCGAAAAAAAAGGGAAATAACCACCACTTGGACAACCCCCGAAGAGATGGCGCATAACAAAATTCTTCGAATTTTTATAAATTTCGTACCCGTCATCTGTTTGAAAAATTTATAGCGAATTTTCTGAGGGTTTTCAAATTGACGGCTTTTTAATCGATTTTTTTAAAAATTAAATTTGAAAGAAAAAAAGTTACAAAATGAATTTTTGCAGGCTCGAAAAGATATGTTTCGCCATCCACGCGTACACTGCCAAGCAACGATCCTTCGTCGCCAAACGTCAGAGACACGGTCGAATCGTTGGCGCCTATAAGACACACAAATTAAGTACCACGATAAATTCTGAGGGTTTTTAACGACGCCCCAATATACACCGCTGCTGCTGATGTATGCTTTCCTTGATCAGAAAAGTGAAAGTTATGGAGGTGCGAGGTAATCAGGAGTACCATTTATAGAACTCAGCGATGAATTACAGTGTATTTTTGATTTTACAGCTCTAAAAAGCGTTTTTCAAGTGAAAATCTTTTGGCTTTTAGCCAAAATTTCTCCAAAGAATTTATTTTTTTTAGCAAGAAAATTTGGGGAGATTTTTTGCCTCAGTGTTACAATTATATCCTAAAGCGCGCAAATTTTTAAAACTTGTTTAAAATTCAGGAAATATATAAATTTTGATTAAAAATACACAAAAAAAATTATGAAAACACGCATATGCATAAACGTATACGAATAAAAAACGATGGATGTAAAAATACGAAAACGATAAAAAGGAAACGATAAATAAATATAAGTTATATACCCTTATGCTAACCAAATTTCAATGCTATTTCAAAAATCCTCTTTTTTTTAACACTTCAGGAAGAGGATGATGAGGGATTACCGCCATCACAGACCTTAAAAGGTAGAAAAAAAAAAAACAAAAAATGAGAAAATGTCGATCTGGAAGACGGAATTTGAATGCTACAATCGGCTTACCATGAACATGGCCCTCGAAATGTTCATCAGGATCAACGGTACACGAAGTTTCGATTCCATACGCATCAATTTCACGACATCGGAAGTTCACATGAAGGATGCCCTTTTTTGGGGTCAGGCGCAAGTCGAACAAACGATTGAAAGCCCTGAAAAAGGTATGCCTGAAATATTTAAACAGTAAATTATATACTTTTGTTATGCCAGCCGTATTTCAATGCTATTTCAAAGAATCCTTCTTTTTCTAACTGCAAAATATTTTGGGGCAAAATGAGGGAAAAAATAACGCCAAGCGAAGCAAGTATTGTGATAGTCACTGTTTTGCAATGGAAGGATTCGCTTGAACGCCTATATGAAATTGCAAAACTCAGGAGAGGGAGAAGAAATGGTAAATTTACTATCTTTAAACGTGAGTAGGAACGAAAAAAATACGCAAATTTTTGTTAAAAATTTCAGAAATATATAAATTCCGATTAAAAATACACAAAAAAATTAATATTAAAATACACATATGCACAACGCATAAAAATAAAAAATAGTGGATGTAAAAATACGAAAACGATAAAATCTTAAGTGTCAGCAAGAAAGAAAAATAAATAAATATGCAAATTTCTGTTTAAAATTCAGGAAATATATAAATTCCGATTAAAAATACACAAAAAATTAATATTAAAATACACATATGCATAACGTATAAAAATAAAAAAGGATGGATGTAAAAATACGAAAACGATAAATAAATATAAATTATGTACCCTTATGCTAACCATATTTCAGTACTATTTCAAAAATCCTCTTTTTAGCTGCAAAATATTTTGCGTGAAAATATTTTTGAACAATATTCATAAATTCCTTCCTTGATTTTCATTGTTCCTTTTACATCAAGCATTACATATCTCGCATCAACTATTACGAATTCGATAATCGCTTATTACTTAAAATAATCCTAAATATAATGTCAATGAAAATGAAGAAATGTTGAAGATTGGATGAAGAAACATAAATAAAAATAAGCCAAAAAAAGTTGCATCAAAAAATTTTCGATCAAAAAAATAAGAATTATAGGATTTCCCGCAAAAATGACCACTAGGAGGGTGTAGCACTGGTCAGAGCAACTGAAGTTTCCGCGACGAAAGAGATCTTCCATGAATTAAGTACTATTCGAAGTAATCAAAACAAAAATTCGAGAATTAATGATCACTTAGGTGACCACCAAAGATGTACGGCGCACATACATCGAACAGGCGCTGGGGTACTAACTGGAGGCATGCAGCCCAAGATCAAAGACCTACGAAGCGTGGAAAAATTCCAATAACATTACTAACATGCGATACCCATACTGAACACCATAGAGGTCGTAGTATTCTTGGCGCAGTAGGGAAAAAAAATTTAATGAAAAAAAAAATAAATTAAGCCAATTTTCAGCCAAAAAAAGCGGCTGGTTTAATTAACTGGCACCACTTCTAGTGGAATGGCTAAAGGAACTCTGCCAAAAGAGAAACTCAAAAATAATAATTTTACTCGTCAAAACTTTTACGGAGTCGTAGGCAAGGGAAGGCTGAATTTAAATTTGCGGGGTCACACTTGGACGGGGGAAAATACCTCTAAATTTTCAGCTTCCCAGCTTTTGTGGTTTCCAAGTTGAAAGTTACGGACAAGTCGCTGCCGACACACACACACACACACAAACACACACACAGATAACCCCATGACAATATACGTTTTGTACTGCTGTTACACAACAAATAAAAACGCATCAAAAGAAATTGGAGAGTTCTTACCTAAAAATTATTCGTTCCAATTTGGCAGGATCAGTGCCTCGCTTTACAATTCTTCGATCAATTTTGATGATCTCAAAATATTCCAGTCGATCGTTCAGTGAACTTGTGTCCATCCTGCCTTTAATAAAAAACATCAAATATATACTTGTAGCTGATCAATGAGCTTAAATCCCCAACTGTGCTTCCGGATTTCTTTTTTCAGCAGCAGCTTTGACCAACGCTACAATGACCAGTGGTCATTCTGCTGGCGATTTTGATGTTCGTTTCATCTCCTCAAGAGATTACCAACTCAAAAATTTTCTGGACAAAAGTATTTTACGAAATTTTAGACTATCTGCGATACGAAAATTTTTAGACTCCTCACGTGCGGACATGTGGAAATTTTGGTGGGAAAATCTCTAACTCGGGAACGAAGAAACCCAGAGAGCTGAAAATTTAGCCAAAAATCTTTTCCCGCCAAAGAAATTTGCATATTTTTTGGGGTGTCAAGTTGAAGAGATTCTCTTGAGAACTAAAAGATATTGTTATATGTAGAGCATCACCATCTCGTCTCGAAAATTGCTTTTCCAAGCCCAAAACAAGGAATATTACCGGTTTTCAATATATATTATGTATTTTTAAAAACATTTTGCTGAGAAGTACGTATGAAATATGCAATATGTGTGTTGCATCAGATATTTTAGAACAAAAAAAAAAAAATAAACCGAAATTTTATCAATTTTTTCTTTAATCAAAACAAAATACACGGCCATGATTGACTATTATGTGAAGATTTAATTATAACTAGTTTCATTTTCATCATCGTCGTTGCCTAATAACTTGAACGTGATCTTGGATGATTTTAAAATTTTTATTAAAATCAATTATTAAAAATCATTTTAAGATTTTGTTAGAATTTCGCCTAAGAAAGAACGGGCCAAAATGACAACAGATGATTTGTGGAGAGTAATTCCTGCTAACGATAAACCCAACTCCAACAACAATATTCCTCGGCGCTCCTGATTCAAACAGAAATTTCCCCTAATAATGCGGTAAAACGTCGAAGAACGGCGAACTGACCATCAGCTGGTGGTGTTGATACGTTGGCCGATTTGATCATCCACAGCACCAAACAGGTGATCACCTGCCCCCAAAACAACAACAACATCCCTAGATATATACATGTGTCAACTGGCTCGGAATTCCTGAAAAAATTGATCGTATCATTAAAATTTGGTGTCAAAATCGAAAATTTTTGCATATCATGGCGTTTCAACAGCTCATCTGACTTGCACCTTCTCTCGCTTTTTTCTTTCAAATATCCGTCTTGCAAATTAGTTACATGTCCTTTCAATACATGGCGGGTAGGAGGCTGCACTGACGATTCTCACTCCTACCCGCATGCATAGTCCGGTCTGTGTTTACAGCTAAAGGATGAAACACACAGAGAGACTGCATCATAAAATATCACCTTATTACATCTAAACGATGAAAGACAGTTTGCACCGTAAAATATCACCTTACACATGACGACTGAGTACA